TGATTATTTATTGTTTATAATCATCAATAGTCCTTTTATTATTTCGCGTTTTGGTATTTTTAACGTTTGAACTTAATTAAATGCGTTTGACACAAATGATTCGACAATTACAAGTCATGTTTTTATTCTTATTTTTAGGCTATTTATTATTTATTTGTCATTTTTTACATATTTATGATTTTACATATCAATTTCTATGCAGAATATAATTCATATTTACATGATATTACAGTAAAAATAAATTTTTTTGAAAAAAATTTTTTTAATGTATGAAGACTTGAAAAATTCTTTTTAGGTATTGTTTTCACATTTTACATTCAGTTTTACTACGAATAATTTTTTGAATAATTGAGAAAACAACGTTTTGCGTGAACTATTTTACATACTTATGTAACTTACAAGTAATCCTGTATTGTATAGAACGTAGCATGCTTTACAAAGTTTATAAAATGTCAACTTACTTCTCAGGATATGCTTTATTGTTTTTTATATTTTATATTTAGTAACACATGCGTACGAAAATTTATTTCTATACAAGTTTGCTAAAATAGAATTATTTCATCAACGCTTTAGTTACCGCCATTTTCGGATTATATTATACCAAGTAAATACGTAGGTTTTATCGAACTGGAAGCGTCTCGATCATCCTGACATCGGCTATACATTGATCCAAGATCATGATAATTGTTTTTCGACGTTGCATCGAACGTGCGAGAGAAAGCTGCTTGATCCGGATTGATGGATGCGACGGCCACGGTTCATTATTGGTTCCATTATATCCGCTTCTTCAAGCTGAGTCCAACCACTGTCGGACAAGCTGTTCGATCGACCTATCCTTTTATCGTCTAACGAAACTAACCGTCAGTCAGGGTATACCGCTATCGGCGATCAGAGCCATATATGTACATGCTGTACACGTATAGTATCAAAACAGTATCATGGGGCTTACGGTCAAATGTTAATGAAGGTAGACCCCCAGTGATATCAAGTGACATGTAAGTAGTCACTCGAGAATATGCCCTAAATGATTAAAGTTATTTCCGTCTTGATACACAAATACATTAGCAATATATATAACAAACATCAAGAAAGACGTTCTTTTTTTTTTGCAAAAGCAAAATTAGAAACTACACGAAAAAAACATCTATGTTTGCCATCACCAAAAGTCGCCTATCTCAATACATTTTTTAATTATAAGAACTATAGTGATAACCGTAAGAATGACATAATATTTAACGGTTATGGTTGTTAAGATATGTCTATCTTACGGTTATCACAACTAAATATATTGATGGGTGAAAATTATTATTTTATTTCCGGTTATGATATAAAACCATTTTTATGTACATACTTCTCAGAAAGGGTTGAATATAATAATTAATTATATTTAGTTTCCATTCACATTTCAGCTAATTTTCTTTACAATAATCTTATAATTCTTAACAGTTTTAAATTCTATGATTTTTTCTCAATTTTGCATTTTTAGATATATATACGTACATATATTGAGCGAGTTATAAGTATATTTTGAAATTTGTTGATATATTTCATGATAAAGAGAAAAAATAAATAATGTTTCTTTGAATTATCATAACATCAAAATAACGTCAAATGATTACCAAAAGTAACTTTTCAATAACGATTTATTTTAACATTATTTTGACGTTATCATAACTTATTGTTCTGCTTACATTACAGGCCGCAAATGCTTTGTCATTGAAATATAATGGACACAAATACAGTAATATCAAATAATAAATTTATTTAAAAGTTACAGATGGATATTTTTTTTGTTTACAACAGATGCTTAAACTCCTCCATCATTTTTCACATGTGCCTGTACATGACATGTACATGGCACTGGTACATTATCTCAAATTTATTTATATCTGTTATTTTGATAACGGAACATTTACGATCTAATGTTTATACAAACATTTGTTCTTTCTTTTTATGCAGGAACACATTCACGAAATTTTAAAACATATTTACAGCTTTGATAAAAAATATTGGACATCTTATTATTAATCATTATTGTTTTAGCCGAAAAATTGATTTATGGCTGTAAGTTACCTTTTGTTTCAAAAACTCTTTAAACTTGCATAATACTAGTGACGAATTGGCGCGCAACAATGTAAGTAAAAGAATTCCAGACGAATGAATAAAATATAAGTACCTAATATTTTTGGCCAAGGCTGTATGATCTTATCTGATACATGACACAACAAATGGAATAATGTAAAATATACATAAAATATACATAATAGTGCATAAAATACAAAAAAGGAAATAAAATTGGCTTATTCCGCACTGTCGCCTATTTCTCTCGAAAGTTTCGATAAAATACAGTTTAGAACGTGTTTGCGAACTCTCTTTGTCACCTTACTTTAAAAGGAGAAGCATCAGAGCGCGAGAAGTTGCCTTAATACGATGAAGTAGTCCTTCGAGGCATACGGTTATGCTGATAATAGCGAGGTAGGTCAGCAAAGAAGCGATAAAACTTCCTCGAGAGGTTCTTCCCTCCTCTGCTTTCCTGTGACACAACAATACCGTTCAAGCCTCTTTTATGGGCGGTTACGCTCCTCACCACGAGTAGTAAATGACTTGGTCTGGCAGCCGTGATATGTCTTACGATGGACGGTGACTCGCTCGGAAAAGTTTGACATTGTCTGGGTATTAAAATGAATCGACAGGAGACACATTTATGTACCGCGACCTGAACAGAGATATGGCTCTCTTCCGGTCGCGCAATTACCTGTTTCCGTTTAAACACTTTAAATATGGTACGTGAAATATGTCGAATCGTTGCCAAGTCGAGTTTTTCTTTCTGCGTTATGCGAGTTCAAACGAGCAGTTTGTATTGGTCTTTCCACTGCAGAACAATCGCATGCGGTTTATCGCGTGTTCTCGCAATTAACTAGAAATCCGGATTTAATGCGTTCGACAGCCTGGTGACTAATTGACTTGTTCCGCCATGACGTTTGTATCGATAAAATGAAATTCACACTGGTGCATATTACTTTAACTAAGTTGCATTTCGAAATTTCCTTAAAATAATTGACATTTATATTATAATAATTTAATAACATATAATATCGCTTATTTGTTATAATAATGACACTATTATAAAATTATTTTTTAATTACTTGCAAAAAAAATGGAAATATAAAGAAAAGCGGGAGAATAATACTTTAAAAAAATATATTTTGATTTCTCTATAATTAATTATTACGCTAAAATTGCATCTTAAAATTAATATTATATAAGTTTTTCATAATTTAGATTGTTGAAATTTATTTTTTGAAAAATTTTGTTTTTTGAATAGTGTCGTTGTAACAAATGAATGATATATAGAGGCATTTTTAGAATTTTTTTAAAAGTATATCACTTATATTACTATTTTTATTATCAAATGTACATAGCTGACATCTGATAAATATAAGGATTATTTATTAAATATTTATTTAGATAATCTGTTATCTGATTCGAGTTTCACAGCATTGACATTAACTTTAGCTTGAGCTCTAATATATAGTTCTGCATTATACACGAGGATATCTAAAATCAATTGTAAGTTAAAAATAGCACACTCAAGAATAGAAATGGACAACTAAATAAGTTTAGTGCAGAGGCTAATAGTCGATAACCGCCATACGTCAGATCGATAAACACACATAAAAGAAAATGCTGCCTGCAAATACACAACAGGAATGTCAATGAACAAATAACCCAAAGGCGGATATACGTTACGATTTTATTTTATGGCACAGTATTTCATCTTCACTCCGTTAACAGCTTGTCATTTCCCTGGATAACCCAGTTTACGATCAAACCTGCATTATGACGATCAATCAGAATTTGCAGGTACAACATCGCGAATTATCCGTATCCTAATTTCATAACGGCACGACGTCGGACGTGCATAGTGCGTCTAAAGCGGACTAATTGTGAGATCGTTTTGATTCCCGTAAGATTTATATGCGCTCGTAAAAGAGCATTTCTCAGAACTTGTTTCATTTCTTTCTACCAATACGATCTTCTTTATCTCTGAGAAGGTGTATCGTAAAACTTATTGCGTATAATCATGTTCATTGCCAGTGATTGCTCGCCAACTAATCATACTGTACCGCATGCTCTTTCTTCTAGATGATTCGTGTTTGTTTTCCAAATTTCGTTATTTTTAGGTGAGATTTTTTTTTATGGAATGGTCATTCAAATTATCGCGGTGAAAGTATTTGTTGAAGAAATTTTTCATTCTTTTCTAAATCATTCTCGTAAATAATGTTCTCTCTTTTGGCTCTAAAATGAAACAAGTTTCGTTTAAGCGAAAAACGAACTCTAAATTATCGTTCGATATTCTCTTTTTACCTACATGTAGTGTTTAATTTAACAGTATAACATATTTATCGTTCGCTTTGCATTTAAAACGAAGCTTGTTTTATTTTGTAGCTGGCACCAGAGCTTTGTTACAATAAAAAAATCTTTTATAATAATGAATACGTGGTATAAAATAATAATTATATCTATGTTTCACCAATTTTATACGAATTTTAATTAAATGTTTGAATATCATTTGACCGCCAAGCGTTATTTCTACCTCGCTTCGCGAAACATTTCATTAGCAGTATATTTCCTAATTACCGTTGACTTTATTTCTACTCTGTGTGCAAAACGAGCTGCCGCAAAGTCATTGCATTTTATCACTGTTAGAATGTTCTTTAAGGCGCAACATAAAATAGCCGCGGGATAATTGATGCATGCAAGATGGATTCTGGCGTGTACATCAGAAAGATAGAGATAGAGAGGAGGGAAAGAGAGAGAGAGAGAGAGAGAGAGAGAGGGTTGAGGGATATCAACGAACCCTGAGGCATGCATTACAAAGGACGTGTAATTTATTGTTAAAGGGGTGGACAAGGCGTACGATGCTTAGGGATGCTTGGACGAACGACGGTGGGAAAGGCTGGTGGCGATGGTGGTCCAGGTTGGGCGGATTGCTGGCGATGGCGGCAGCCATATCCTGTCTCGTTGCCCCGTTTCCGGGCGCCTCGGCCAATCCGGAAGCGAAGCGTCTCTACGATGACCTGCTGTCGAACTACAACCGCCTCATCCGCCCTGTTGGCAACAACAGCGATCGCCTCACTGTCAGAATGGGACTACGCCTCTCCCAGCTCATCGACGTCGTGAGTAGACCCCACTTAACCCATTATCCTATACCGCATGTCTGTATGTGTATGAATAGCGTTTATACTCTATATAGAGGGTTGCGTCCCCGGGACGCATGCCAGATATGTAGAGCAAGAGTACTTGGTTGTGAAATAGTCCAACGTGTTTCATCGATTGGGTCGAGTCAGAGGGAAACGATATCGGGCTGTATTGTTGCGTTAACGAAGTCGGCAAAGTATCAGGTATTACTCGCGTATAGTGATGGATTTTAAGTACAAATAAAAGCCGCACTCCATATCCCCCATTATAGTCTTTCTCTTCGTTTCTTTGCGACTTTCGCGTCATTTGAAGTTATAAAAATATCGGATTATGTTTTAAGTCGTTACGTATACGCACGCGTATTTTCATGGAAAATATTTCCTCGATTTCAACACTGTGCTTTCGAGAGGCATATGACAATTTAGAACAAACCTCTTAACTTATACAATTTAATAGCGTACAATCTTCATATAAGGTTTCAGTAAAGTATATATACGTTCATATCAATTTTTTAACCGCTCAATTTATAATTTGCATTGTACTGCGCCACACTATTTTCGCAATATTGACGTGTGTGGATGCTGCAGATGCGAAACAATGTAATGCTCGAGGCTCACTTTCAATTGCTATTTGGAACATTCCATTCGCGTAAATCAAATTAGAGAAGTTCTAGTTATCATTGTGCATTGTTAATTAAATTGATCAAACTGTATACCTCTCATCTTAATGAGATTTATAATATAGGAAATAAAATATTTCACAATCATTTACTCTTTTTCAATATCTATACAGTATTCCCTGTTTTTTATTTATACATGGTAATTATTGCGAAAGACAATTTATTACGATACAAAACAAAATGGATTTTGTTAATAATCACAGCGCAGCTTAATAAGCTTAAAATCAATTAAAATCTGTTACGTAAAATAGACTTTAATTCTCTCAAAAATCACAACTATTTCAAATATTCATCCTGTAACATTTTCGTCCATGATGTTATACGTCTATTCGCCTACTTGGAAAGACACTTGTTTGTAACGTATGTATGCGTGCGTGTCCGCGTGGGTGTAGAATATGGGTTCTGTGCTGGATGACCGATAACGGTCGTCCGCGTACTTGTGGTGATAAGTTGGATTCCGGGAGTTCCTCTGCCGGAAACGGAACTAATTTACAAGCGAAGGGATCCGTGGCACTCGAACTATTAATTGCCATAATCTGATCGTCAGCAATCAATCGCGTCTCAGCGAGGAACGCTCGAAACTAAACATATACGCACGCATACGTACACGCGGTGATGCACTTCTCGGTCGATCGATGTGTTAGAATTACGTTGATTGTCCCCGTTCCCCGCATTGTATCCCTCGGTTATTACATTCGAGTTACATGCCCGCGACTCGATCTGAATTTCGGCAGTAATTACCTCGATCATGGATCTCTATCGACTAATACATGCTTCAGTCTAAACCATAATTAATTTGTTATCGGCTGCTATCGGTGCACCTACTGTCGCACGTTATCGACGCAGGGTTCAGGCCACGCGTTTGACGCAATTTTGATACCGATGATTGTTGCAGCTGGTGTCAGAAAGCAATAAGCTCTTATAGTTTTGCGAAATTCTAAAAACTTGATGTTGCTTAATGAATCAAATTAATTCTGTTAATTTTTGCCAATTTACAAAAAATCGTACAACAGCATGTTTAAATTTAATTTTATAAAAAATTGATATGATGTTAATCTAATATTGTTACTATTTCAATAATTAAATCAATGTCTGCCAATTTAAAAAGAATCGTTTAACAGTTACACGCTTGAATTGAATTTGGTCAGATATGATTAATATATCTATACTAGATTTTATATTATCATCACTATTATATAGTATTGATTTTGAGATAACGGACTTTATCTATTCAAAGACTATATTCTACAAATTTTCAATAATTAAATCAATGTCTGCCAATTTTTAAAAAATCGTTTAACAGTCACGCTTGAATTGAATTTGGTAAAATATGATTAATATATCTATACTATATTTTATATTATCATCACTATTATATAGTATTGATTTTGAGATAACGGACTTTATCTGTTCAAAAGCTATTCTACAAATTTAAAATAGAATCAACATGTTTTTTGAAAAACATTTCTATCATGAATGTGTGACTATCAAGTGATTAAATGTATTTATTTCATTTTCTTACCGTTACATTTTATCGTTTAAACATCAAGTGAAACTTTCAACATTCTCAAAAGCTTTAATACTCACCTGCAATTTTAAACGAAAGCTTGTGCAATTCCGCTTTTCGAAATCTCGTTACCGTTGCGCGAATGCAATAATTGTCGAACGTGAAATCGCTCTCGTTTGGTTTATAACGGTTGCCCGTCTACAATGTTTATGATTCACTCAAAACTATCGTACTCGGTTGCGGCGCATGTAACTTTTCATCGATTGAAAATCCCGTTGCGAAGCCGGTAAATAGTGATTACTGCGGCGGTACGTGCAACGAACTCATTCACTGTACATGCACACGTTCGTAGAATTTACGAAACATTCGCTTTGGTTGATCGGATTCCACTAGCGAAGATAGTGGAAAAAGTAACGAACGTGAACTTTGGGGATCGCGTTAGCTAAAGCAGTTGCAATACCGGAAGCCGACATTTGATCGATATTTGATCGATACTTAACATCGGATATCACACCGTTTTCTGTCTCATGTAACGACACTTGTCGTGCGACATCCCTTTTCGCGCCAGCGGCCCGACAAAAGCTGCAAAATTCGATCGATAGTCGGAGGCTAACTGGCCGATTGTTTCTTCACATAAGTGGTTGCACCAATTCACCGCGAGTGAGAGAAACAGGAGTACGCAATGAAGAGTGGAAGTGAGAGCATTCATTTAATTGTCAGAGTCACACCTCAACACTTTGACTAACAATGAGGACTTTGCACTGGAATTTTAGACATACATTGACATACTGATGCACAGTTAGCAATTTATCAACAGAGAATAAGATAGACTGTAATTTTACTTAACAAAGTACGTAATAATTAAAATATATTCTCTTAAAGAGAAGAAAAGAAATGAAAGATACTGTATTATTTGAACGCACAAAAAGTATTTTGCAGTTGTATGTACAGTTGCAGTCGAGAAACTTAGCTTGTAAGATCAGGGACATGTGGAAACTCTTTTGTTTATATTAGAATAGAACTCACACATAATATAAAATTGTTAATTTATTTTCTACAAATACACATTTTTTTCTGTATAAATACTTTTTGCATTTACTGCATTGAAAAAGAAGATTGAATATGGCATAGCATTTTTAATTGGTTGCAGCAGCCAATTTTTGGTTGCGTTAGCCTATATTGGCATTGAGGATAGGCCAACGCAACCAAAAATTGGTTGCTGTAGCCAATTAAAAATGTTATACCATATTTTACCATCTAATTTGTTGGAGCAGTCAATCTTTCTTTCAGTGTGTAATTTCATCGAGCAAGAATTCGTCGCGGATTGACCAAAAACCATCACTATTATAGAAATATGGTCGTATGCTTTGGGCGAAAGTGCTAACAGTCACGACAGCGTCTTGTAAATTAGGAGTGCAAACTAAGTTAGCGCAGACGGACGGCGGGCGCGAATAAATTAATCGATAGTTGAAAGTAGCAAAGAGATCGGTTGCAACAGAATAGCAATCCCAGGGGGCTCGTAGAGGACCAATTCCCCGCGCCGCGGTGTCCGACCATTATTTACACGGCCTCCTTTTCAAGGTAATCACCTCCTTGGAATTGCAGTTCTCCGGAGCATCTCCTCTTTCTCTCTCTCTCCCCTCTCTGTCTTTGATTCGAGGTAGACCTGCGATTCGGTTCTACGAGAATTTACGAGCGGCAACAGCAGGCAGCGAGATTGACTTTTATTTCCACGGCTGCGACTCGAGATCATACGGGCTCCATATACCTGCTCCTTTTTCTTTTTCTTTATTGCGAAAGGATTTCGTTGTTATGCGGAACGTGAGGAATCGTGAGAACACTAACTCGAGAGCCTTTTACTCGGGGGCGAACTCCGCGGTAAATGACGCTTCGATCGTTCCGCATTATGTGGCTGCAAGTAACCGCTGTTATTAAATCAATATCTCGTACGAAAAACGGCGCTTCTTAGCTCTGAAGTAAAAAGACAAATGTATCTTACATCCGTTCGTACAAACATCTTTTCGTTTTTCTTTTCAATTCTTCCCACTTCTTCTTTTTAATCTCTTTTGTTCTTTCTTTCTTATCTGTTTTTAAGTCACGGCGTATACATATCATCTGTGTTCGTCGTGTAATACAATATCGAGGTTCAACGTGTGCACTTCGCGAGCTTTAAAGTTATTGAAGTATCTTCTAATGGCGAGCTCATTACAGATTCCATAACTGTCAACCGCGATTGTTTCGGTCGCGATCGAAATGCACTGCGTCAGTGTCGCCAAATTCTCGCGTGAAATAGCAAAATTCCCGTACAACTGTCATTTGTTACACGCTCGATTGCATCGATCTACCAATTTTGATCGTCGAGCAGACATTCGAGCAGCATACTGCGACAGGTGTATAATCGGAGTGAAACGGATGATTGCGCCGCAAGTGAACGAGGGCGACACGAGGGCGAGACGGTGTCGGTCGATGATAAGGGTTCATTTGCGGTACTGCGAATTCATGCACCCTTAACGGCCCTCCGGCTATCGGCTTTTCATTTCTTCCAATTAAACACGAATGCCCCGAATGTTTCAACGGAAATCGAAACGCACGTCCGTCATTTTGAAATTCTGCGCGCGTGCTTCTCCTTCAAACACTTTGAACGAACGTGTGATTCATGACAGGTGGCCGATTATGGATTATCGTTATTATTCCCTTAGAAACTGTGCTTACCTTCGCTACTTAAGACCTGCCATTTTTCTCGAAGAGATATGTTGCTTACGAAGCATTTCTTTCGTGGCTTTTACACTAAA